AGATGCCTGAAATGCTAATCTTAGTATATGCTTGTAAATCAAATCAACACATTAATACACAAACATATATGTATATATGGGTGATCAGATACTATTGAACCTCCAAAATGTCACCTAATTGCACATGCCAACTGACATCATATGATCCATGCCTTGCCTATACATAAACACAATGTGTTAAGCTTCTTCAATCAGCATACACTCAGGCCATGCACAAATTAGTCAAATCCGGCGAATTTCCTGATGCAACATCCATTCAGAGGCCAGCAATATTCCACCAAACAGCAAAACTGCAGCCAATAGTATAGAATCTAACTAGAATCACGATAAATTCAGATAAGAGGATTAAAAAACACCAGCAATAGCGCCTGAATTATTAGCTTTTTAAGGATTCAGAAAATGACTAATTTGTCAGCAATGCTGATTCTCACCCATCATACAAATAATATGTGAAATGAACGAGAGGGGCGTACAATTGCAATTTATTTTTTATATTAGTAGTCGATTCGATTAGTTAAAAATTAAGATCATACAGCCACTCTAAAATAAATACTTTAAATGCCCGAATTTTAATAATAATTTTATAAAGTAATTACCTTTTTTTCAATGTATCTGTGATAAAGTTCCAAGTCTTCATCCCAGCACAGAGACTTACTGTTAAGGAAAGGCTTTTCTAAAAACTTATCTTATAAAACAAATTTAGAATGAATAATTACAAACCAGACTCTATGAATTTTGGAATTAATGTAACTTTTAGTATTACGGGAGAGCCAACTTGAGCTCTTGAAATGAGATGTCTATCACTTATACGATAACAAAGCAATTACCCGTCAAGCATAAAGAAGGATTGCCAAGAAGCAGATAGGCCGCTGGTAGATTGAAGCTTTCTTTGAATGCCTAGCACATTTACTTTATTGTCCGCAATTTTTTGAGTACGCTCACCCATGTTCAACTAAATCCAAATCGACAACATTACAACCGCTTACATAAAGAACCTGACAAATAGAGCCACTTTCATCCATGCTTAAAGCTTCAAAGCAAGGAGGGAAATCCCGAGTGACTAAAAGACGTTGTAATACAAGATTGGCGCCCTCTGAAATAAAGCCAACAAGCTTAGACGCATGGTATTTGTTTTGAAAAATTTCAGATTTATCTTCTTCAGAAACCGTCCGTATAAATTTATAGTGATCTGAATACTTCTTTACAATACTTGTTCGCTCAATTGGACGTCTCTCAAGCTTTCAATTATAGTGAGGAATATATACCTTAACATATTCTTTTTGGATCTGATATAATGTTTCCAGGTTAAAGGTCATATAAGCTTCAATATTGGTCCCACAGATGACATTTCCTATTTTTCCATCGCTAATTGCTTTAACACAGATTACATCGTTGTCCTTATATTTAGATAAGGAAACGCCGCACTAAAAAGATAATATGTACTTTAATATTACTGTATACGAGCCAATAATGGACCCAGTTTCAGAAAATGACGATAAATTTTCCTCAAAGTATAAATAGTTGTAATCTTGGGGTGCTTTGAATAATTAAGTAATAGTTGTATGTACTAACTTAGCAGGCCCAAGAAGGAAATAACGTTTTCACTGACTTTAAAACATTCATGCGAAGTTTGCAAATCCTTTGCTTCACAAATTGTCTGCTCAGTACTTATGCTAAAATAATAGAAAAAAACAGTAAAATCAAACCTCATCTTAGCGACTTGCTAGAAATCCAAAAGGCGTTTAAACGTACCGCCATTGAGTCAAAGCAACTGAATAGATGAAGAACTATTTTTTAATTTAATATATTAATTAATTTTTTGTATAATTTATTAAATATAATTCACTACATCAATAGAATTAAGTAAATTATTATAGTTTAATTTAATATTCAATTTTATCATTTTATAACATGTTAGGCAATAAATATAATAAATGTTGATAAGCTTTCAGTTCTTATGAT